TGTGTGTCATTATATATATATATATATATATATATATATATATATATATATATATATATATTTGCCAAATTGTGTACATCATATCTATACTTTAACCCAAGGACCACGGGTTCACGTGAACCATATTTTACACTGTAAATCCGCCTCTGGATCTACCGCTCCGTTGATAGTGCGTCGCAGATTTAGAGGATGCAAATCGCCCGTAAAGAAGAAAGAGAAAATTTAAAAAATACAAGAAAAATATAAAGAAGAGAATATGGAATACTAAAAACAAAATAGACGAGGAACTAGCATTTGATTTCGTCGCACAAACGACTCCAAGAACGAAATGAAGAAGAAAGGAAGGAGGAAAAGAAAGAAAATGAAAAAGAATACAACAACAACCCAGTAAAATTACACTAGTGGGGTATGAGGAGGGTAGTGTGTACGCAAACCTTAACCCTACTCCAAAGGAGCAGAGAAACTGTATCCGAAAAAAATTAGAAAAATAAAAATTTGAAATTTATACTTGGTAGGCGCATGTTTTTCACCACTTTGATACAAACCTAGTCATGATCTTTTAAGGGTGTAATAGCACCCCGAAAAAGAAAGTGTGTAGTTGAAACTTCGGTTATAGGCTAGGGATACTTATGCTTTTCCCTTCTGAAAATTTGGCAACTTTTTACTCCTGATACTTATTGCTGTAGCTGTAGTTTTGAAAAGATTATCTGTTTTCTCCAGTTTGTCCAAATGTACTCGTATTAGGTATTAATTCTACCTTTCAATAGAATTTGTTTGCTATGATCCTGAAAAGAGACCACTCTTGCTTCACAAATCACTGAGAAGTATGAAGAATCAAAGTTTTCTCATTGCTAAAGAATTGGTACACTGTTGGACTAAAAATTAGAATGGTTACATTTTCCTTATACCATATTGTATTTTCTATGACTTTCCTGGAAGCAGATAGCTTTGTTGTTTTACAAGGGGATAAACACCCTGTATTATGAATTTACATTTTACAACAAATGATTCTAAAGAAAAAAATCATGTATGCATCCTAAAACTGAGGTTCTAACAAATCTTACATGCTTATTGCTCTAGAAGAGACTTCAGACTCACCCTCCTGCAGCTCGGTTTCGGCCATCCCATTATTTTCCTGGCAATAAAATTTATCGAGAGGTCAACAGTGTGCAAGTGTGTAGCTTACCCAAATGAGTTTTGGCAGGAAATGCCCTTTTCTGTATGCAGAGGGTATATGTCTTCACACCTTCTAAGCTTACTTTAGGAGAAGAATGATTCTATTGAAAAGAAATGGCATTAGCCAGGGAATAAAATAAACAAGTGAAAGTTCAAATCATACTCTTTGATTTACCGAATGTGCCTGAGCAAGATACCGTTGTAGAGCACCATCTCCACGAAGTACCTTCCCACCACATCCAGGTGCATTTACTGCACCTACTGACTCTTCATCCACCACAATAGCATCTACTCTATCATCTCCAGCTTTGACATCAGGAATCTGCACATTCAAGTGAATCAAGTACGAAAACACTTGCTCCTGATCTTAAAGATTTTGTGAAGCTCCTATGAAAATAGATTCGAACATAGTTTACCTCATACATAGCATCAGTTAAGATGCTTTCGAGTATGGCTCTCAATCCCCTCGCACCAGTATTTTTAGCCATCGCTTTCTCGGCAATCAACCTTAATGCTCCCTCCGTAAAATGTAGCTTAGTCTAAACAAGCACGTGAAAGTCCAAATCAGTTGAATACAACATGTAACCTCTCTCTTCAGGGTTTGAGGATGTGTATTTTCATGCTTGCGTTCCTTTTTGCTCTAGGGTGGGAGGGTTGTAAAGGTGGGTGTGAGTGGGGGAAGAGAGGAAGGACACATAGTTTGTACTTACATTATTCATGCTAAATAGTTTTTTATATTGCTTGCAAAGAGCATTTTTGGGTTCAGTGAGGACCTGTAAGAAAAAAAATACATTAAATTCACCAAGTCAATTTTCTGGAAAAACAAACACTTCAAGACCAAAAGTCAAAAAGAAAGAAGACGACAAAAGAGAAGAACAATCAAAGCAAGGAATACATAGAACAAAAGGAATCAGGCAGGGAATAAGTAACAATAACCAAATCTGTTAGGTGAAAGATGGATTTCCCTCATAAGCAAGGATCAAGTTCTTCAATCAGAGAACTGAAGCAGGAATTA